TTTTAAATCAAAGACATTATTTTGGTAGTTTCCTAATGAGGTAGTTTAAAGTTAAAATTTGAGAAGAAATCATTTTTTATTTTACTAAGAAGAAAAAAATTTTAAATCAAAGACATGGTTTTAAGTTTAAAATTTTTATCTTTAATATAGTAAATAGATTATAGGAGATTTTAACATCTTTTGTATTTTTTAAAAAATAGAAATTATTTATGATTAACTATTATGTTAAGCTCTGTTAAGCTGATTCTTCATTCAGCTTAGTCTTCCTGTGCGAATTTATAGATGAACCAGGTTTTGCTTGCTTGTGGTCTTAAAATAGCTATAATTTTTTTTCCTTTTTGTCTTTTTTCATGACCGGTAACGGGATCGCAACCCTCAGAGTCGCGCCCGTACCGCGACCGGCAACGGGATCGCAACCCTCGGTGTCGCGCCCGCACCGCGCTCAACCAGTGAGCAGACCGGTCTCTATATGGGATCTGAGCCCTCGGCGGGAGCGCCACCGCGCTCCCAAGTGCCGCACTCTACCGAGTGCGCCACCGGGCCAGCCCAAAATAGCTATAATTTTGTTCCTTAACCCTCAGTGTCGCGCCCGTACCGCGACCGGCAACGGGATCGCAACCCTCGGTGTCGCGCCCGCACCGCGCTCAACCAGTGAGCAGACCGGTCTCTATATGGGATCTGAACCCTCGGCGGGAGCGCCACCGCGCTCCCAAGTGCCGCACTCTACCGAGTGCGCCACCGGGCCAGCCCAAAATAGCTTTAATTTTGTTCCTTAATAATTTCCGCCTTGGGCCGGCCCGGTGGCACACTGCTATAGTGCGCCGCTTGGGAGGCGTGGCGGCGCTCCCGCCGAGGGTTCGGATCCCACATGCAGACCGGTTCCCGCTCACTGGCTGGGCGAGGCGCGGGGGCAACACCGAGGGTTGCGATCCCGTTGCTGGTCCCGGTCTGGTGCGGGGGCGACACTGAGGGTTGCGATCCATTGCCGGACACAGAAAAAGACAAAAAGGAAAAAAAAATAATAATTTCCGCCTTAATTCCTGGGAGTTTTCTTTCTGGCTTTAAGATCATAGTTATTTCCTCTTATTCCTACTATGTGCCAGGGACTTTGCTTGGCTCTCAGGTAGATCATCTCAAGCCACTGCCCTCTTCTGGGGCAGACCATGGGTATAGCTGGTGAGAGCTGGGGTCTGAGAAGGACTGATCAGGAGGCTACCTGCAGAGGACAGTATCCCAAGGCTACAAATTGAACTATTCAAGCAAAGGAAGGCAGGGAATTTCTAGCTCGTTCTGTATTAGAATGAGTCAGACTTTGCCTTCCTGTCCCCCCTCATCTGTGTGCCCATAGTAATGGGAATTCATGAGAATGAGACAGGGAGAGAGGAATAATCCTGGCCTGAAAATATATAATGGAGGCTCTGCTAGTGCGAGAGCCTGCCTTGCTGTGGTCAGCGTTAACCATGAGTGAATGCCTGTGAATAGAAGTAAACTGGGGGTATGTGTCTAAAGCACTTCTGCAAGGTGCTTTAGCATTGTTGGAAAGATATTCCTTAGTCAGGATTGTGGCAAAGGCCAAAATCGCCTTTGACCACAAAATCTCCCCTCCTGGAGGAGCACAAGCTCTGCTATGTCCCCCTGCATGTAAGAAACACAATGCAAAGGCAATCTTCCCCTGCTGTAGGTTGGCATCTAACTGTGCCTCTTTGCTTTCTAGCTGTGTCGACTCTACAAGTTTATTGAGCAGAAGGGAGATTTGCAAGATCTAATGCCAACAATAAATTCATTAATAAAACAGAAAACAGGTGTTGCCCAGTTGGTGAAGTATGGCTTAAAAGATCTGGAGGAAGTTGTTGGATTGTTGAAGAAACTTGGCATAAAGGTTTGGCAACTGTTTGATAATGGCACTACGTATTTGTAGCATTAATAATAGCACAAGGGGTTAATGAGTTTATTTCATTAATACTATTAGTGTCTGATTTTTCCAGAAAAATCTCAGTTTTTTTATATTTTGGAGCATTTGTTATCTAGTAATAATTTTGGCTTAAATCAGGATTTCTTTATAAGCATCTGATTTCTATCATGCAGCGGTTCATATTGTGTTAGCCTCCAAGAGATGGTTATTCTGGAAGACAGCAGAGTTTCTCCTGCTTGGCAGGCTACAGTTAAACAGATGTTGTGCCAGATCTTACTGAATATTTTGTTTATGCTAAATAGATTGTTCTGATGCTGTTGATGGAAAACAGCATGTTCAGCATTGTATTCTACATTCTGAATCTTGACACACTTGACACATGCGTGTGGCATTTCACTTTACAGGTCTTGATCAATTTGGGCTTAGTTTACAAGGTCCAGCAGCACAATGGAATCATCTTCCAGTTTGTGGCCTTCATCAGACGAAGACAGAGGGCTCTACCTGAGATCCTTGCGGCTGGTGGCAGATATGACCTGCTGGTGAGGCCTTCCCCTGTATTTGTTTATTTGTTCTCGCTTGGCTTTATTTCTTCCTCAACTTGTTATTTTGAAATTTTTCAAACCTACACCAAAAAATTGAGCCAGTAATATAATTGGATACTGTTGTATCTTTCATCTAGGAATAGAAATGTAATGTGAGCCACATTTGTAATTTTTTAAGCTTTTTCTAAAATATAAGTTTACAGGAAGTTGCAAAGATAGTGCAGAGAGGTCTCGTGAACCCTTTACCATTTAACTTCTACAGTAATTACACCTTGCATCACTGTAGTTAAAATATAAGTTTACAGGAAGTTGCAAAGATAGTGCAGAGAGGTCTCGTGAACCCTTTACCCATTTAACTTCTACAGTAATTACACCTTGCATCACTGTAGTAAAATATCAAAACCATGAAATTGACATGGGTACAATGTATGCGCATAGTTCTGTGCCATCTTATCACATGTGTAGATTCTGTCATCACCATCACAATCAAGATGCGGAGCTATTCCATTACCACAAGGATCTGCAAACATCAGCATTTTATCAGCTCAGATGAAGTGCGGAAACCATACCTCCTTTATGTTCCTTTACCCCATGCCTCATTTATGATATAATTGTCTTAAATATTTCCTCTACATACATTGAGATCCACATCAAACAGGGTTAAATTTTTTGCTTTGACTGTGAAATATAATTTTAGAAACTCAAGAGAAGAAAGTCTGTTGTATTTATCCAAAATTTCTGGTTTCTGGTGAGAAATCCACTATTATTTGAATTATTTCCCCTATAGGAAAGGTGTTTCTGACTTGAGGCATTCAACATTATTTGTTTTTTGGTTGAAATTAAATTATGATGTGTTTTGGCAGGAATTTCTTTGGATGTATCCTGTCTGGTGTTTGCTTAGTATCTTTATAGGTTTATGTCTTTTGCCAATTTTTGAGGAGTTTTCAGGCATTATTTCTTTGAACGTTTTTTTCAGTCTTGCACTCTTTTACCTCTCATTCTATGACTCCAGTGACACAAATCTTAGATCTTTTGTTTTGTCTGTGGCGTTTTGGAACATTTTGCTTTACTCTGTTTTCTCTTACTTAGGTGAGTGATTTCTGTAGTTTTATCTTCAGTTTCACTGACTCTTTCCTCTGTCTTTTCCAGTCTTCCGCTGAGCCCATCCAGTGAGTTGTTTTGATCTTCTTCTTTGCTGAGACTTCCCATTTTTTTATTTGTTTCAAGCCTGTTCATAATGCTTGTCGAGGCATTTTTATGGCGGTTGCTTTAAAATCCCTAGATAGGGCCGGCCCGTGGCTCACTCGGGAGAGTGCGGTGCTGATAGCACCAGGGCCACGGGTTCGGATCCCATATAGGGATGGCCGGTTCGCTCACTGGCTGAGCGTGGTGCTGACAACACCAAGTCAAGGGTTAAGATCCCCTTACTGGTCATCTTTTAAGAAAAAAAAAAAAAAACATCCCTAGATAATTCCAATATCTGTGTCATCTTGGTGCTGGTGTCTGTCGATTGGCTTTCTCATTCTGTCTGAGATCTTCTCAGTTCTTGGTAGGATGAATGATTTTCAGTTGTATCCGGGACATATTATGTTATGAGACTCTGCAGCTTTAGATCTTTCTTAGCAGGCCTCCTCTGATTCCACACCAGGGTGGGCAGGGGGGCACCTTGCTGCTGTCGGGTGGGAGTGAAGATCCAGGTTCCTCATGCAGCCCCCTTAGACACCCCCAGGGTGGAAGGGGTGCCTTGTTACTACTTCCCAAGTGCCTCCACTGATAACATGGTGGGAGGTAAGGGGGGGTGGCAGGAGGCCTTGTTTCTGCTGGATAGTGGTGAAAATTCCAGCTTCCCACTCAGCCTCCTCTGGCACCACCCCAGCAGAGAGGAATGGGCTGTTACTGCTTGGGAAAGGGTGGAAGTCCAGGGTCCTGGGGATCCTTACCTCCACTGATACTTGGGGAGGGGCAGGCACTACCCCCAGGCAGGTGTGAATGTCCTGGCTCCCCACTTGCTCTTCTCTGAGATCACCCTGCCAGAGTTTGGTAGAGGGAGGCTCGTAACATGAGGGTGAGGGTGAGTGTCTGAGCTCCCTACTCGGCCTTTGCTCAGGCAGTAGGGCTGGGGGTGGGCCGGTGCTTTTTTCCACAATGTTTGGCTGGAGCAGGGCGGTTACTGTCTAAAAGCTTTCTGTCTTGCTGGGTTGCTCCTTTCTGGCTCTTTGGCCAGAGAGAGCAAGTTTTCATTGATGCTCTTGTTTCTGTTGGCATTTCTGGGTTGCCAGTTCCTCCAGCACCCAATCCAGGATATGTGAGGTAAAGAGCAAACCCACGGAACTCACCATGTATCGTTCCTCAGCTCTCATGGTACCCAGCCAGTCTCTTTTCTCCACTTTCAGCGTTGTCTTATGTCTATTTTATATGTAACGCCCCAGGATATGTGAGGTAAAGAGCAAACCCACGGAACTCACCATGTATCGTTCCTCAGCTCTCGTGGTGCCCAGCCAGTCTCTTTTCTCCACTTTCAGCGTTGTCTTATGTCTATTTTATATGTAACGCCCAGGATTTTTAACTTTACTTAGCAGGAGGAATAGGGAGAAATGCACCTACTTCATGTTGGTCCATCTAGTAACATTAGTAAGTAAAAAGAGACAGGTGGGATTAGTTTTAATAATATATTTTATTTAACCTATACACATATATTATTTCAACACAAATATTATTTCAACATGTATACAAACTTCTAAGAATTATCTTTCTTTCCCACTCTAAGTCTTTGCAGCCAGTACAAATGGACATGTACGGCACATGTCAGTTTGGATTAGCCATATTCCAAATGCTCAGTAGCCACATGTAGCTAGTGGCTGCCATAATGAACAGTGCAGGTCTAGATATAACGTTTGTTAATATTTCCTAAATCTGCATGCATGCTTGCTTCTCTCTCTTACTATACACACAAACACACACATACTTTTTTGTTGAATTTGTTGATAATCTGCTGACAGAGTGCTTGTTCTTTAATTATTGCTCTCCCCCTAATCACAGTTTCTTCTCTATTTTATAACCAGAACTATTTGCCTCTCTCTATAGATTCCCCAGTTTAGAGGACCACAGGCTCTGGGGCCAGTTCCCACTGCCATTGGAGTCAGCGTCGCCATAGACAAGATATCTGCTGCTGTCCTCAGCATGGAAGAGCCTGTAAGTTCCAGCTTTGCTTTCCAGCATGCTTTGAGATGTCTTTCATTTCTAAAAGTATCATTTGCCTGTTGTAGTCATTCACGTGGAGCCCTGAGGTGGCAGCTGTAGACCGAGGGTTTCGGAAATTAACACGAGAGACGAGCTGACGCTTGGTGTCAGTCCTCACGTTACAGTTCTTGTTACCTGCTCTCTAACTGGCCAGGTGGCCTTAGACAGTTCATTCCTCCCTCCCCAACCTCACTTTCCATATCTGTAATGCACTATCTAAATGGGAGATGTCACAGTTGTTGACAGACTCTTATCAAAGCCCCTCATTCAGAAAGCCTGCTGTGATCTACAAAGCTAGAAATGGTACTTTTTCCCTTGTGTTTTAGGCAAGATTAGTTTTCCCAGAAGAAAAGAATATCTGCCTGATGGCTCAGGGTAGTTGAAGTAATTTCAGTCTTAAAAGACTAATGTAAAAGTGTTTTGGCTATGACATTTTTTCCTGACAATGTCAGTTGGAAGCAAAGCCATGTTTCTGTGTAAGATTTGGAGAACGCCTGTCTTCCTTGACTGCTGCCTCCCTCCTGGTGCTGGTCCCACATCCACGCCTGCAGTCTCTCTCTTCTGAGTGTAACCACTCTGTTTCTGATCCAGGTTACAGTAAGCTCTTGTGACCTCCTGGTTGTAAGTGTTGGCCAGATGTCCATGTCCAGGGCCATCAACCTAACCCAGAAACTCTGGACAGCAGGAATCACAGCAGAAATCATGTACGACTGGTCACAGGTAACAGGATGAAAAGAGCCTCTAAGTGAAGTGCACATCATTACGGCTTCCATAACAAATTGTCCTCCACACCTTTAGATTCTGTCAGACCCTTTCTCTTCATCATTAGAGTTGCTTCCTGTAATAGTTTCTGATTACTGCAGTAACCGATTACCACAAACTTAGTGGCTTAAAGCAACACATGTTTATTATCTTACTTTTCTGGCAGACAGAAGTCTGAAATCAATTGCACTGAATTAAAATCAAGGTGTCAGCAGGGCAGCTCCTTCTGGAAGCTCTAGGGGAGAATCTGTTTTCTTGCCTTTTCCAGCTCCTAGGAGGCCTCCTGCATTCCTTGGCTCATGACCCTTTCCTCCATCGTCCACCTTAGCAGTGTACATCTTCTTTCCTCTCTGATCTGTGCTTCTGTCCTTGTATCTTCTCTCTCTAACTCTGATCTGCATGCCTGCATCTTACATGGACCCTGTGATTACACTGGGCCCACCCAGATAATACAGGGTGATCATGCATAGGTTCCAGGGATTAGGATGTAGACGTCTTTGCAGGGCCATTGTCCAGCCTATCACGCTTCCCCAGACATTCTGTGTTTAGTGTATTTATGGCTTTGTATCCTCAGACCTCCCACAGCGTGCTGGCCTGACCCCTGCTCTGGGTAAGGTGGTAAGGAAAGTGACCCCTCAACACCTGCCTACCCTTTAGAATGGGGCTTTAGATAACTAATATCTGTGCGAATCTGTGCGAATCACAGAAAGGGTGTGTCCCAGGAGATAACCGAGGTTGTGCACATGTTCACCCACACTAAAGGTGTCCCAGAGCATGGCAGTGACCAGGGACAACCATGTGCCACCCTCCCTCTGGCTTCATTCACATCACCTGCCCAGAGGCTTCTGAAGCTGCTGCTATCCATTTGTGTGGGTGTCATATCAAAATTCAGATCGGAGGTGTGCTGAGCAATCATATTTAGTCACTTGACAGAGCAATGTCCTCTTCCACTTGTACACTTGTTTCATAAATTGTTAGAGAAGTGTTCTGTACCGCAGCACGTATAAGCCCAGTGACCAGTGACTTCGGTTCTGCACAGTGGCATCCCCTGCAGCCTCCTCTGCCCTGATGCCTGTTTGCTTTATGCTTCAGTTCTGCTTTGCACCTGCTAATATTTCTTTTGTTTCCTTTACTTTGTTTCCTCAAAAAGCTTTTTCACTGTGTGTGTGGTATAATTTTTGACACCTTCAATTGGAGGTGTCATGAGCTTCCACTTGAAGCTTTTGAAAACCTCTTACTATGTCCCAACCTCATTGATGGTTCATGGCCCCTTAGAACAATCATGAAAGTAAGGAAGGCAAAAGAGGTCTTGTTCCTCCTTTGAATTCTGTGCTCTTCTTGCTTAATATTTTTGTCCCCTGAAGTCAGCATATTTAGTAATTCACTTTGAGAATACAATTGAAAACAGTATTTTCATTCTCCTTAATTACTAGAATCTGCTCCAGGTGCTCTGTGTTTATCTTACACACTGCGTTTATTTGTTTCAGTCCCAAGAAGAATTACAAGAGTACTGCAGACATCATGAAATCACCTATGTGGCCCTCGTCTCAGATAAAGAAGGAAGCCACGTCAAGGTAAAGACCACAAGAAATTCTTCACAATTCAGTGGTTGGAATTCCCAAACTGTATGTTACCTGTGGAGCACCCACCTTCCCCCTGAGACCCTGGCCTGTGTGGGGGTGGAAATCCATTACTTTAGCTCTCCCTTTGAATTGTTTCTTATTGGAGAAAGTGAATTACTATTTTGTTTTTAATTAATCAATTATCTTTTAAAAAAGGCTTTTAAGGGCCGGCCCGTGGCTCACTCGGGAGAGTGTGGTGCTGATAACACCAAGGCCACGGGTTCAGATCCCATATAGGGATGGCCGGTTAGCTCACTGGGTGAGCATGGTGCTGACAACACCAAGTCAAGGGTTAAGATCCCCTTACTGGTCATCTTTTTTTTAAAAAAAAAAAAGGCTTTTAAAATAAGAGGAGAAATGTCCTTTATATTTTACCCACATAGTTACCATATCTGGCGGTATATACCTTTGTGCTGAGACAGATTTCATTCTGATACCATTACCCTTCTGCCTGGAGGACTTCCCTTTAAGATTAATATTAATACCGGTCTGCTGGTAATGAATTCTCTCAGCTGTTATTGGTCTGATATCAAAGTCTTTATTTCACCTTCATTTTTGAAAGGTATTTTTCCTAGGTATAGAATTCCAGGTTGACATTTTTTTCTTTTTGCACTTTGAAGATGTGTTTTGTTGTCTTCTGACATGATGGTTTATGTCAGAAAGTCTGCTTTGATCCTTTATATTTTTCCTAGGTATAGAATTCCAGGTTGACATTTTTTTCTTTTTGCACTTTGAAGATGTGTTGTGTTGTCTTCTGACATGATGGTTTATGTCAGAAAGTCTGCTTTGATCCTTTGTGTATAGTATATCTTTTTTATTTTCTGGAAGCTCATAAGATTTTCTTTTACCACTGGTTTTCTGTAATTTTATATGCTATGACCTGCCTCTTTGTGGTATTCTTTATGTTTCTAATACTTGCTATTCGTTGGGCTTCTTTAAGCTGTAGGTTTATAGTTTTCATCAAATTTGGCAATTTTTAGATATTATTTTTTTCAAATATATTTCTATCCTTTCTTTCACATTTCCTTCTGGAGCTCTGATTACAGCATGTTAATCATTTGTTATTACCCCACAGCTCATGGATGCTCTGGGGTTTTGGGGGGTGGGGTTGTTTGTTTTCTTCTCTCTCTGCTTTATCCTGGATAGTTCACTGACCTTTTATTTTGCAATATCTAATCTATTAATCCCTGTCCAGTGCATTTCTCATTTCAGATACTGTGTGTTTTTTTTCATCTGTACAAGTTACGTTTATGTTTTTTTTATGTCTGTCTTTTATCTCCTTATCATAGTTCTTGTTTCCTTTACATCTTTTAAAAGGCTTATAATAGTTGTTTTAGGGTATTTGTGTATTAATTAATTCCATCATCTCTGACATTTCTGGGTCTGTTTCTATCTATTGATGTTTCTTCTGGTTATGAGTCTTACTTTCCTATCACTTTGCATGCCAGTAATTTTTGATTGGTTGTTGGACATTATGAATTTTACATTGTTGGGTGCTCGGTTTTCTTATGTTCCTATAAATACTGTTGGGCTTTGATGTAGGTAAGATACTTAGATTCTGTTTGTTCCCTCCCAAGCTTGATTTTAAGCTTTGTTAAGGCAGGTCCAGGGAAGCTTTTGTCTAGGACTAATTTAGCCCCACTACTAAGGTACCCTTTGGAGGATTCTGCCTGAAGCCCTGTGTATTATGAGCCTTCTCCACTCTGGTGAGAACAAGAACTATTCTCAGCCCTGTGAGTTCCAGAAATTATTATGCCTACTCATTTCTGGTGGTTGTTTCCTGAGCCTTGGATAATTTCCTCTCACCCATGCACAGATTAGTACTCAGCCAAAGTTGCAAGTGAACTCTTCTGCAGAGGTTTAGAAATCTTTATTTCTCTGTGAGTGTGTAGCTCTCTCCTCCTTGGTCCTCTGCCCCACAGTTTCTAGCCATCTTGACCTACCTAAACTCTGGTCTATCTTCTCAACTCAGCAGGACTCCTGAGCTTGCCCTCAGGAGGTCCCCTCAGCTATTTAGGTTCCCCTTCCCTGCGCCACAGTCTGGAAACTCCCTCAGCACACTATACCAGGGCAGTTGTGGGGCTCACTTTATTTCCCTTCTATCAGGGACAGTAGTCCTCCACTGCTTGTCCAGTGTCTGAGAACCACTGTTGATATGTTTTGTTTGGTTTTCCAGTTGTTTAAGGCAGGAGGGTAATTCTCATAGCACTCAATCCTTCATAGGCAGATTTGGAAGTCTCTATTAACGGTCTGCTTCTTAGTTACAAGATCATAAATGACCCTAAGTCCCACAAATCAAGCCTCTCCCAGAGCAGTGATTGCTCCTGAAATATTGCCAAGAAATGAATGTCTAGCCTTGCTGAATAATTCCTGTGTCATAATGCACTGCTATAATTATTAGCAAATTTTTAAAACTTGAATCAGAATGTGCTTCCCAAAATTTATATTCATTGGCCCTAGTTCTTCCCTCAAGAATAATCACAATAAAAACTTGAATTCTTCTCTGAAATAAATTTTAGGATACAGCTGCCATGCCACTTAGTGTCCTTTTTTCTGGCTTAAACATTCCAAATACTTAAGACATTCCTCATAGCATGGTTTCCAAATCCTTGGCCCTCCTAGTTAACCTCCTCTAAACACACTATACTTTGTCAGAGTCTGTCTTTCAGTGTGCTACAGAGGGCTCTCAGCATGTTCTGACAAATGGGAAGGGTCTCTGACCTCCCACAGTCTAGACACCATACTTCTCCTAATATAGCCTATGAATGAGCTAACTCTTAGCAACCATGTGGCTCTTTTGCCTCATACTGAACTTATCATCAACTAAAACCCATTGCCATTTCAGCAGTTATCACCATGTCTGACCGGCCTTCTATTATGAGGGCTTTAGTTATAGGACTTCATGTCTATCTCTGTTAAATGTGAGTTTATTCACTTTGGTACATCTTTCCAGCCTGTCAAGCACTTCTGAATCTTGCTTCTGCCTCTATTAATGGTGGGTCAGTAGCGTCATCTTCATATTTGAAAAGCAAGACATCACTTCATCTATCCATTCGCCAAATGTATTTGATGCATTCACAGCGTGAGTGGGATTGAAGGTAGGGTCATGGAGGATACAGAGACATTCAAGCTACAGGCCCTGCTGTCAGGGATCCTATAATCTGGTAGGGAACGTAAAGCATTTGTGCATGATTACGAGCTAGAAGATGCTGAAAGGCTAGAAAATCAGAGTCCTACAGATAAAGTTCTCTGAGGGTTCCTCAGCCTGAGAGTTTGTCAGAAGCAGCAGGGAAATTTTCAGGGTGGTGGTGGAATTTATGCTGGATCCTCCAGGATGGATAGGATAGAGATAAGTGCTAAAAGCACCTAAGCAGAGAGAATAGCAAAGGTGATGGTTATTCTTTCAGTAGGTTGTCCCAAAGTTAGAGGCAGGCCTGCAGTGTTGGGTGAAGCAGAGGGATTGTGAAGAAGGGTATTCAGCAGGAAAGAATGGTTATAGCTAGGATCACGGAGAGCCCGAATGCCAGACCAAGGAATTTGGACATTATTTAGCAGCTAACGGGAAGCCCGTGTATGTTTTAGACAGAAGAGGACATCAGAGTTGTATTTGAGAAAAATTAATCTGCAGGGAATGTGTAGTATGGAATGGAGTGAGGGAGGGATAGCAAGGTGAAGGATATCAGGCTAGGCCAGACCAAGGTAGGGTGCTGGCCAAGGGTGTGAAGATGAAAGGGAAGGTATCATGAAAGTGGGACGATAGGACTTGGGTTTGGAAAGGAGAGGGAGGAGGTGTGGATAATGCTGAGGTCTGAGAAACCTTGGTGATCGACCAGAGAATGTTCAAAGGGGAAGGATATGTGAATGAATCAAATGATTCATTTGATTGGTTGGGAGTTGGTTCATCCTGGCCTTTTTGTTGTTGTTGTTTTCTAATTCTACCATCTGTGATAAACTAGTCCAGACCAGGTTTCTCAACAGCAATGCTTTTAACCTTTTGGGCCAGATAATTCTTTGTTGTGGGGGGCTGCCCTATGCATTTTTTAGCAGCATCCCTGGCCTCTTACCCACTAGATGCCAGTAGCACTCCCCACCATTGCAACATCCAAAAATGTCCCCAAACAATGCAAAATGCCACTGGTTAAGAACCCCGAACCTGTTCACTTAGCAATCTTACTGTGGTACTCTGAGCCAGCTTTTTGGCTTCAGAAGCTTCCAAATGATGAACTCTTTCATTCTCTTTAAGGTTAAGTCTTTTGAGAAGGACAGACAGACAGAGAAGCGCGTGCTGGAGACCGATCTTGTAGACCATGTTGTGCAGAAACTGAGGACTAAAGTCAGTGATGACAGGAATATCAGGTAACAGTGAACAAAAGCTGCTGTGATTATCTATAAAGAACCTACATACATTTATTTTAAAAGTCAATTTGATCCTTTTGAGAAATAAAGATAGATCAGGATTACTTTTAATGAATCACTCTATTGCTTCTGAAAAACTCGGTCAGCAGTTTATTTACATGATGCACTTGTATAAGACTGCTCATATCTTGCTTGCAACATTTGTCCTCCATAACATTTCCAAGAATATTTTATCTTTTTGAAAGGCCTAAGGAGCGCAAATCTACCTGCCGTTATCGCATTCTGTCTGTTAATCATCAAACTTCAGGAGTCTTTTTTCCCTATAATTTGAAAGATATAATATGTCCTGGGAAAAGATCTCTCATTACGGGAGTATAAATCAGTTCAACCGTCTAGACAGGAATTTAGCAAAGTAAGTTCAAACCCTTAAAACTAAAAATTTTAAAAAATTGACCCAGCAATTCCACTTCGAGGAATTCATAGTAAAATTTATTTCATGGGGGTATGTATAAAGATCTCTATCAAGGCATTGCCTTTATATCCTTAATTATTTAAGGACCCCAAAGAACTTTAGTTTATGTGGGTTATATAGATCAATATTTTATGTGTTATAATTTAAATTTTAAGCCTTTAAAAAATACATATTTATTCATTTTAAGGTAACAATAATTACATTACATGTTAACTTACATAACATTTTTTATGGAAAATAACTATTTTCCAAAACAAAATAAATTTAGTAAGAAAAGCAGCATTGTTTCACATATTCACAAACCTCTTTAATGCATTGTTTTACATTTTTGTGATCTTTTTATTGCTGTAATAGAAGAAACAATTTTCGTATCTGCTTCTGCATTCAATCTGTTGTGCTGTCACACATCATGTAGTCTCTGGAAAATTCCATTGCACGTTTGTCGAGGACGAGAGTGAAAAGGACAATTAACATCTTAGGATTATTTTTGAAAATAGTTTTGACCTTGTAGACCCCTCAAAAGAATCTCAGGGACCTCCAAGTGTCCCTGGACCACACTTTGAGAATCTCTCCTTTATAATATCAAAATATGCATTAGTAGAAGATTAATAGAAGATTAGTAGAAGAGAAATGCTGTGAAATCCTGTGCAGCCTTTAAAAATGATCATTCTAGTAAAGCTGAGTTTATTGACATGGAGGCATGTTCACAATAGGAACATGCCCTTTTTCATTTTAACCAAAATATATAACCTATACATAGGAAAATGTCTGGAAGGATGCACCAAATTTTTAATTGGAGTAAAAAAGAAACGTATCAACTTTCTTCATTAAACTTTTCTGTACACTTGCAACTCTTACATATGTGCTCATAACTTTTTTTTTTTTTTTTTTTATTAAAAAGATGACTGGTAAGGGGGTCCCAACCCTTGACTTGGTATCGTCAGCACCACACTCTCCCAAGTGAGCTAACCGGCCGTCCCTATATAGGGATCTGAACCTGCAGCCTTGATGCTGCCAACACCACACTCTCCCAAGTGAGCCACAGGCCGGCCCCATATGTGCTCATAATTAGAAAGTACAACACTCTTTTTTTGGCTGACATCAGTGACTCCCAGCCAGTAGTGATTTCATCCCCCAGGGGACATCTGGCAACACTTGGAGACATTTTTGGTTGTCACAACGGTTACTGATATCTAGTAGAGGCCAGGGATGCTGCTAAAACATCCTACAGTGCACAGGACTGACACCCTCCCTGCTACACACAAAGAATTATCTGGCCCCGAATGTCAATAGTGCCAAGACTGAGAAATCCTAGCTTATAGAAAGTAAACCTCCTTGCTTTTTTTCTTCCTCCCGTGCCCCCACCCCTTCCCATTTGTACTTTCTGTTAATAAGTTTACCCTTTAGGCTTTTCTGGGGGAATGTAATGTTCTTGAATTCACCAGGTATTAGAATTACAGATCAAATCAAAGAGAAGCTTAGAAGAGAAAACAAAAAATAGCCAACTAAATAATAGTGATTATGGGCGAACATTGTTAAGACACTTAAAAGGCTAGATGGGATTTAGTTTTAGCAGGGAAAGGTTCAAAATCTTTCCTCCACGCAAATGATTATTTCTGTTTTCCCAAGACAGAGTGCTATTGTATCTCTCAAAGGCTATATAATTCACAGAATTTGAAAGAACAGCCATTCACAGCTTGTGAAAGAATATCCTTATTTACCAAATGTTCTCCTGTGGGTGGTCGGCAAGGCTGCTGCCATAATGAAGGTGGAGCATGCTGTTGCTAGTGTTTCCCTGTATTACAAGGGGAGCGGAAAGAACACCCATTATATTTCATTGAAATTAGCTTCTTGTTCTGAGCCAGGATTTCAGACCCAGCTGAATAAATCAGACTGTTTTCTTTAGGCATCTGTTAACTTGCAGTGACATCCTTTATAATTTTTTACTTGCTCATGACCAAAAGCATAACTAAGTGCGTATTTTTTGTTGTTTTTGTTTTTCCTCCCACTAATAAACAAGAGAAATAGGTTTTTATATTTCATAGAAAAGTGGCTCACTATACATGTAGGTCACTGTAAGTTATCTGTGTTGCTTTTCCCTTATAGGCTGTTTTCTAATTGGTTTTGTTTGCTTGTTTTTAGAGAAGCTTCTGATAATCTAGCAGTGCAAAATCTGAAGGGGTCATTTTCTAATGCTTCAGGTATAATTACTAATTATAATCTGAACATAATAATGCTTGTATGTTTGATTGCTGTAAGCACTTGTGACTGTGACTACTCCTTGTGATACTGGAAATATATTTTTAAAATAACATATGTACAATAAATGTACCACGTGGAACTTATTCCTATGTTTTGAAACCCACATCCTAGAAAATGATAAAACAGCTGGGACTCAGTTGACTCTTCTGATACTGATACGTCAGGATCTGTCTTACTGTCTTACTTTTAAAATTGGCTTAATATTCCTTTGATTCAATTTATTGTATAAATGAAATGTGGATAATTTTCCTGGAAATTTTCACCATACATAGGATTGGAGAAATGTGTTTTGAAATTCCTTGGAGAAAGACAATATATACGTTTGGTTTTCATGAAAGGCAAGAGGAAACAGTGGTGATGGTTATGCCTTTAGTTTCATCACCTCTGTCAACCTATTGAAAAAGAAGTATTCCAATTAAGCCCACGAGAAGACATATTTGGCTTTTAATAGAATTGGGTCTTTACTGTTTATTTATTTATTTTTAAAGATGACTGGTAAGGGGATCCTAACCCCCAACTTGGTGTTTTCAGCACTACGCTCAGCCAGTGAGCGAACCGGCCATCCCTATATAGGGATCTGAACCCGTGGCCTTGGTGTCATCAGCACCACACTCTCCCAAGTGATCCACAGGCCGGCCCCTTTACTGTTCATTTCTGTTAGCATAAACTTTGTGTCACTCTCAGGTTTCATATACTTTGAGGAATTTAAAGAAGCACTAGAGTTTGGGGGATGTTCATTTTGATTTTCTCAGGCTCATGAGGTTTTGGTGACTCACGTTGCCTTCCTATGCCTTCGTCACCCCCGCCCCCACCTGAGGAGAACGAGCATCAAAAGTGCTGGGTGTTGGGGTTCTGGGCTCTTCCCTGGCCAAGTGCTGGTGGTTGCAGAGATAGAAAACAAGGCCCAGACATGACCTAGCCCTTAGAAGCACTACAGGATTTTACTAGTAAACTCTGTTTCTCTCTGTGGTGTGTGAGACCAGAATAAGTGGGACCAGATAAGGCATTCTGAAACTCTCTCTGTCTCAGGTTTGTTTGAAATCCATGGAGCAACCGTGGTTCCCCTAGTGAGTGTGATAGCCCCGGAGAAACTGTCAGCCAGCACCAGGAGGCGATATGAAACTCAGGTATACCGGGCAGGTGTCTTTGGCTTTTTAATGTGAACTACAGAGGAGAAAGAAAAGGAAAATAAGAAACGTGGAGTTTCCTGGAAATATTTTTCTTCCCACTTTCCTAACTTGGTGACTTCCCAAATTTCATCAACACAAAGTGTCTCTCTGGTGCCAGGATTTGGCCCCATCTGTCCTCTGGGGAGGCATCAGTGTGCACTGTAGGCACCTGGAAGCACCTGTGGTCGGAATGACTGCATCTAAACAAAACTTTTGATCTGGCTCAAGGGGAAGTAGGGATTTATTTGATTTTGTTCTAAATGGCAAGAGGCTGATCACAGACTTGAGATAGGTTTCTCATTCCATACATGGGTTTGGTATCTGCTCTGTGCCTGATGTTGTGCTAAGGACCATGTAAAATATAAAGACATTGACATAGCCCCAGTCCTCAAAAAGTGTATAGCCTTAGAAGCATGTGCATTATATAGAGAACAATAGAAGAAAATAATAGAATGTGAAGCTAAATATATTGAATATGAGTGTGACAGTGTGCTATGGAGCTGTGGGAAAGGGTGAGTGTTAAGAGAGCAGTCATTATTTAGAAATGGAACTAGACTGAAATAGAAAAGATCAGGTACCTGATTTTTGTAAGCTCTGCTAGCTGTTTTCTCAGGATTTGGGTGGAAGCCCATTTTTCCCATCTTCCACCTGCCTTCATCACCTACCATATTTGAGTTCCATGTTCTCATTGCTGTCACCTCCCTCCCCTTTTACCAAATTTAGCTTAATTCTAAAATCTCTCTGCTTTCACATGCATGACTTCTCTGCACTGAGTCTTTATTAATATCATTTCAAAATTATAAAGAAATAAGCAACAAAAAAGGATTATTAAATGATCAAGATAGGTTATAAAATCTCATTTCCTCTGAGATTATAATGGCTCTTTCCAAGGTGGATTAAGAGCAAATCTTTAAATACTATTCAGGATCCTTTCTAGGCTTTGGTTTGTCACCCTGTGATTGTTTCCTGGAAAAATGGCTTGGTGTAACATGTTCTGAATTCCATTTTCTTCTTGTCAGGTACAAACCCGACTGCAGACCTCCCTTGCCAACTTACAACAGAAAAGCAGTGAAATTGAAATTTTGGCTGTAAGTCCCTTTCTTTAACATTTTGAAGATAGCTTCTTGTTCATACTGTCAAAGTAGATGCCTCAGAATTCAGGGCTTTTTTGCTCAGTGTCAGCAGTACCTGGATGTAGGTCTTGTCACTGATGTGAACTACATGCGATCTAAACCTGTAAAAAACTGGGGAGAAAATGGAAGGTTTTTTATTTCTCCTCTTACTTCCTCTGAAAGACGGAAAGGGGAAATGAATACCATTTTTCTGCTTCTCAGGCCTTTGCCTTAACTAAGGCTACACTGAATATATGCAGCAGTGTCAAACCTTTGGAGTGTGGTGTGTAGGGATGGGGAGTAGTTTCCACTGCTTATTAGTTTGCCAGTGCTGAGGTCTTATCCCTGCATAGTTCATTAAGTCTGTTTTATAGCACGCCAGCATCCCAGACCGCCAGACCTATTCATATTGCTCCATCCAAAGTGATACCATAGTCATAGGTCAATATGCTCCATCCAAAGTGATACCATAGTCATAGGTCAATAAGTGCTGCGTACAGCTCCCTGATAGATGATATACATTTCTGTGTATTGATTCATAGGTGGATCTACCCAAAGAAACAATCTTACAGTTTTTGTCATTAGAGGTAAGTAACATGAGTTCTTCTGCACTGTGGCCTTTAAAATCCCAAATCCTTGCTGTTAATTTGCCAAAAGAAAATTGAAAACAGCATTAAACTTTCTTAGTGGTAGTCTTTTTCTGGAAGTTCCAGGAATTTAGTAACAGCGTTCCTTTTATGTGATATGTATTCTTAAATCCTATATTGAGGGAATCATACTTTTCTAGAAAGTGGCTTTTTAAGATTCAAATTAATTTAGGTCCTTTTTTATGTTTTTTAATAGGTACATACCTTTATCATCAAATAGCCTAAATAAGAACTCTTAAAACTTTGAAGGTACCTTTGCTATTAAGAATAATTAACTTTAATCATAGCTATAGCTGATTTTTACAACATCATGTCAAATACTCTTTTGTCTATCTAGAGTGTTTAGTAACAGATTAGATTAAAAATGAATTTTGGGGCTGACCAGTTAGCACAGTTGGTTAGAGCACAGTATTATAACACCAAGGCCAAGGGTTTGGATCTCTGCAATGGCCAGCTACAAAAAAAAAATGAACTTTGCCCCAAAACTAATATTTCATATTATGTTTTCTGTTCCTCTCTTACAAACATATAGCACTATACTGGCAATTTGCTGATTTGTGAGCCAATCAATTGAATACACACTGGGGTGACAGCTCCATTTTACACAAAGTAAACAGTAGCAGCAACAACTGGTCTAAAGTCACATTAGCACACCAGGACTGCAGCATTATTCATCAGGCTCTAATTAAGCAGTCTTGTTCTGAAGAAAACCGATGCTTCAAAGGAGGAGCCCCAGCAGCTCCCCACCAGTTCTACTATCTCCCTATAACTGATTCTTCTGGCATACCTGAAAGGGGAATGGCATTGGTTTCATCAGTGACCCAGAAAAAGCCAGTTAATAAACCCTAGTGCCTTTGTTGCTAAGTCTTATCTATTTTCTCCTAGTGGGATGCTGATGAACAGGCATTTAACACAACTGTGAAGCAGCTGCTGTCACGCCTGCCAAAGCAAAGATACCTCAAATCAGTCTGTGATGAAATTTATAACATCAAAGTAGAAAAAAGGTAAGTTATCACTTAGGCTGAGAGGGTTTCACACGGTTAAAAGTCAGGGCGGGATTTCAGAGTGATGCATATTTTATTATCTTGTTGAGGTCTGATGGCTGATAAGCTGTTGTTAGAACTGCAGCTGACAACCAGTAAATCTTGTCTGGACTGCGAATCACGGCCATGATCTCACCTATAACAAAATACAGCAGACCTAGGAGTAGCTATCCCAATTATAATTTTGTTCACCCAGATAACTCACTTCTGAAAGTATGTTTAGGGGTCGCCCATGGCTCACTCGGGAGAGTGTGGTGCTGATAACACCAAGTCAAGGGTTAAGATCCCCTTACCGGTCATCTTTAAAAAAAAAAAAAAAAATGAAAGTATGTTTAAATAAAAGAAAATAGCTATAACTGTTTTGCTTTATGTCCTTGTGTCATTCATGTTATCCAGTTAAAGGCAACAAGGAAGCCTGTGAGGTGAATGGTGGTCTCCTTGTTTAAGGCCTTATACTGCAGACCCTTGCCAGTCAGAGCTTGTGTAAAATTTAGGTAATTTTCTTAGTGACTAGGTTTCCATCTTGTTTTTGATTAAACAAAGCTTCTACAGTTAAGTGTTCTAAAAATAATTTATTAACTCTGTTCTTCACCCATTAAACTGTCCTTATAATCTACCTTTTCTCTTCTTTTGCAGGGTGTCTGTGCTATTCCTATATAGCTACAGAGATGACTACTACAGAATCTTATTTTAACCCTAAAGAACTGTCATTACATTATTCAAACAGACAGGGGCTTATATTGGAATAATGGAATGTTGTACATTCATTGTAATTTTAAATTAACTTTAAATTCTAAGAAGCTGCCCTACAAAGTTGAGCTTTGTGAGTTTTTCATGTGTAATATATCGTGAATTTATCTTTTTGGATATAATAAATGCTTTCATATATCTGCTGCTTTTTAATTGCAAATTTATTAATACTAATGGTTTTATGGAGCTGGAACACAATAGCCTTGTTCTTCTCTTGGTCCTATTGTCTAAGCACATAAAAAATGTCCAAACTAAAGGGCATAAGGAAACCAAAATTCATTACTACCTTGGAATCTATTCTTGAGGATTTTGTAATATATTTATCCTAAGATAATTAAGCAAACTCTCATTTTGCTATGAGAACTCATTCAAATTTTGCTAAAGAAACTATGACGATAAAATTGTACAGCCAGGTGAGAATACCCATGAGATAACATGACTTTTTCTATCGTGGAAGGTTTCAATTCTGGTAACCTAGAAGATAGGAATAAAGCCTATTCATTAATCATATCATTCCAAAATTAGTAGTTATTGACACAACTATTAAAAAAGTTTTGGGAAAAGAATAAATAAGAGACAGTCAGTACTGATAAATAGACAGGTTTAATGATAAATTGCTCTTCACAGAGATGACTACAGAGACTTTTAAACTATAATCCAGGAATATACAATCATGCAGCCCAGACCAATTAGCCAGATCTAAAATAAACTGGCCTCTTACCACAACTACACTGTAAACATTACAACCTTGTTCTTTCCAAAAGAACCCTAAACTCACGTGAAAACAGTTACTGTGGGGGACCCAGAAACCTTGCTTTGTGGCCAAAAGGAAAAACCAAAGGAAAAATAGCAATTCAGTGGTTAGTTGGTGAAAGCAGGAAATTTGGTGCCCTTCACTGTGCCGCTTTGCTCTTCTTACTCTTGCTCTTTTTGTCCCTCTTCTTCAGCCCATCCATGTTAGCTCTCAATAGGTTTGAATAAGCCTGAAAGACACAGAACATGACTTTAGCAGGAAGATGTGTGAATTGGTGGCGCTGCTGCCCTATTTCCATAATGGATTTAGGGTAGCCAAAATCAGAAAGACTAACTGATAAAGAATATAATGGTTTGAGTGTAAAACACTCTCTTTCACATTGTACAGGTCGAGTATCCCTTAGCCTAACTGCTTAGGACAAGTGTTTCAGATTTTGGATTTTTTCAGGTTTTGGAGTATTTGCAGACTACCCATACAAGTTGAGCATCCCTAATCTGAAAATCCAAAATCTGAAGTGCTCCAATGAACATTTCCTTTGAGCATCATGTTGGTACTCAAAAAGTTTTAGATTTTGTAGCATTTCAGATTTTTGGATTAGGGATGCTCAACCTATAGCAGCTTCTGCAACACTCACCCACAGTAAGTTACACATTTTTTACTTTTTTAAGCAAAACTTCAGGCAATTTCTTGCTCAGCTATACTGTAAGTAGAGTATATCTGAAGCCTAAGACAACACAATATAACTAAAAAATTAGAAAGGAAGACAATATTGGTGTTGAAATTCACAGCTTGGCAGCTCTTACTTGAAAAATATTAGTAAAACTACCCTACCAGCCAGCCGCTCCCAGCAAAAAAAAAAAAAAGTTGGTAAAATTTATCACAGGAGAGCAATGAATCCAAACAGCAATCTTAATCCAGTGTTCACTATTAGGCTGACTCTTGCCCTGAAAAGGGGGACATGGAGAATACCAAAAACTCACCATCTGAAACTTATTTACTTCTTTGGAGCTCACCTAGAAAAGAAGGAAAAAATAGGTCACTCTTATTATCCATATAAGTATCCTCTACTCCACCCCAGATAGTACCTCAAAATCTTTAAAATACTTCTTCCCAACTCTAGGAGTCATAATACACTAAAGACTATTTTTTACTCCACTTTCCTATGCCTGAGGAACAAGCAAAGTAGCTCTGCTCCTTTTTCCACATGAGAATTGCACCAAGATGTGAAAGGCAAAAGCAGGCTCCTTAAAGAAGCTGTTTCTCACTTCTATTGAAATCCCTTACACATATGGCACTGAGTTCTCTCCCTGGGTTCTGACAGATGTCAAAGGACCTCTCAATATTTATTTTTTGTGCAAGATAGATTTAAACTACTCCCTCCCTACCTTATTTTTAAACATGCCTTCCATTACTTCAGGTCTATTTAAGCACAATGCAAGCTACCACAAAAGAAATTCTACCTGTAAAGGAGAGTCCTTAGGTTTTTGTATTTCACAATATCAAACTTTATTTTTAAAAATCACATAACCTTGCTTGACTGTAAAAGTCTCTCATGGTAACTTGTAAAGGGAGACTTATCAACTAATTATAGTCTACATTCTCATGAACGTACTATACTAATGTGATTAGAAGGCAGTCTGGTTCTGCCCCAGCAGAATAAAAAAGTATTCACTCAGAATCCAGGAAGTCTCTTGCTTTGCCATATTCAACCTCCACTGTGAAAGGAAAGATAGGGTTCTTGACTAGATGTGTGTTCTCTCAAGCACCAAGCCTAACAAAGCTTGCTATGTGAACCACACAGATAAGGGAATAATCAGCTTAAAAGTAAGAGCATCATCTGGTACCAATAAACTACTTATTGAAGGCCCAGCACAGTAACAGGATAAGGAATCAAATATTTATGCCAACTGCTCCTTAAGGACCAATACACTAGTTTAATTTCCACAAAAATTTTAGCAGAACTAAGAAGTGTTTGATCTCTACCTTCTTCATTTTAATTTTATTGTGAAGATTCTACTAAAGTAGTAAAAGGTCAAGGGTTCGGATCCCCCTACTGGCCACCCACAAAAAAAAAAGATAGTAAAGGGGCCGGCCCGTGGCTCACTCGGGAGAGTGCGGTGCTGATAACACCAAGGCCCCGGGTTCGGATCCCACATAGGGATGGCCGGTTCGCTCACTGGCTGAGCGTGGTGCTGACAACACCAAGTCAAGGGTTAAGATCCCCTTACCGGTCATCTTGAAAAAAAAAAAAAAAAAGATAGTAAAGTAAGATCCTGGTCCCACAGTAGCTGGGGAACTACATAATAACCTTTATATTAAAAGGGGAAAAGCCTGTTTTAGATGTGCCCCATCCTTAGTTCAGTTGTAGTCTTTAAAGTTTAAACTCCGAAATGAGATAGGAACCCAGCTCACCACAGTGCTGATCTTCTTTTTCCCATCAGTAGCTCTTAACAGACACTTGTTGTCTGAGGGCTCAAAGCCCTCCACAGAACCTTTCCGTGGAATGGGTTTAGTTCGACCATCATCTGCATGAAAAATACATCCTGGTAAGCACAGCCACATACGTTGCTGATAGGTAGAAAAAAAGTTAAAATACTAGAGAAAGGATAAGAAGAGGTGACCTAATCCACCCCCACTGCTCTAGTTCTCTTAACCTCATCATCAGCTATCACGGATTGGCCAAATCTGGGAGAAACGACAACTACTTCCAGGACAGAAACACTATAACACCAAAGCATATTAAATTTCACTAATTGTGGCGGGGTTTGGGATCCCTGACAAAAAGAACGCTGACGTGTTTGGGGCCCATTGTAACCGGAACCGACCTAGGTGGCTAAGTGCTGGGGGCCGCACCAGCCACAATCCCTAATGTTCTCTGGGCACCCGGTCTGGGCATCGCTCGGCTTCCAGGGCGCCCTATCCCAGCTTCCTTCCGGCCCCACCGCGACGACGGCTGCTTACACTTCTTCAAGGTGATGAACACGCTGCCCGACAACCGGCACTTCTGGAAGAGCCTGGTCAGCTCCGTCAGGAACTGGAACACAACAAGCCCGGCCCCGTTAGGCAGCCCCAAATCCTCGCCCTGCCACGTCAAGTCCCTGTCCCTCCCGCAGAAGGAGACAGAGGTCCCGAGCTAAGCCCCGAACTGCACCCGTCCCTCGGCCGGTCTCATCTGGCCGTACCTGCTCGCTCTCCAGCAGCACCATACCGGCGCTGCTGGCTCCGCTCCGTCAGCATAAACCCACGGCTGTTGGAGCCGGAAGTTCCGCCTAGCCTGGGCGGGACTTCCGCTATTAGGCTTCAATTCTCTTCCATCAATCCCGCCTCCGCTCTCCGCCGTCCGCGACGCCGCGCGCCTGCGCCATGGGACGCCCTCCCCTGTCCAGGGAGAGAAACGAGCCAGAGGGCGCTTGGACTGTGCTGGGATTTTAGAGGCAAGAAATCCTCTCACTCCAACCAGAGTAAAGGAACGAGGACAAAAGATGGATTTGACAGAAATGTGTGGTTGTGTATATTCAGCTTTATGTTGGGCAAGTTACCTAACAGTGCCTGTTTCCTTGTCCTTAAAGTGAGGATAGTAATAGTATGTACGTCACAGTGTGATTGTGAAGAGTAAATGAATTTATATTAAACACGTAGAACAGTCCCTGGCACCTAGGAAGTCTTAGTTCCACCTCAGTCAAGGCACCTGGGTTCTAGGCCCCGCTCTTGAACCCTGGGCCCTCCGTGAAGCCAAGCATTGAATCATGCCACAGATTTCGCTAGTACCTCTTATCCTGTGGCAGGCACTGTTGTAGGGGGTGGGGATACAGCAGGATACAAGACAAGCTAAGTTCCTGGTTTCCTGGAACTTGGGTTAAAGGGGCAGGGAGGAAATAGACAATCACCAAGCAAACAAGTGGTGTAGCTTCAGATAAGAATGAATGCTGTGAAGACTACTAAGCAGGGTGATACAGGTGAGAGTGACAAGGGCACTATTCTAGGCTGGGGTCACGGGAGTTCTCTCTGAAGAGAACTTTTTGAGCTGAAACCTAAGGGGTCCAGCTATTTAAGGATCTGGGGACACAATGTTTCAGATAGAGGGAATGGCTAGTGCAAAGGCCCCAGAAGGGAAACAAGTTGTCCTGTGTTAGCAAGGCTGGGAGATGAGGATGTGGGTGGAGAAGGCATGTGGAATGAGGACTGAAGGACTATGGAGAGGTAGCTAGCCAGTGGCCAAATCATGTAGGGTTTGTGGCCATGGTAAATTCAAATTTCGTTCCAGATATAAACAGAAGATTGTTAAGAAAGCTTTAAACAGGACAGTGACAATCTGATTTACACTTTTAAAACATCCCCAGTCTGTGGTGTGGAGAATGCATTGTAAAGAAACAAGGCAGGAAATGGG